AGCAGTGGAAAAAATGTTTCAATAAGTGTATTCACCAAATGAAGAATACTTTGAAGGTATTGGCTAAAGTTTAAACATGTAAGAATAAACACACAATTTTATATAAATAAATTCCTTTTTTTTTGGTCCCCGCTCATGTTAGTAATGTAGTAAAATGCATAAGCATTAAAAACTGCTCTACCCCTCATAGGTAGTTTGTGCTTTTATGTGTGTGTATATCTAACCTTGATCTTTTATGCTTAGCATGACCTCAATAAATCTATTATAAGAATCAACCAAAGCCCTAGCTGGTATGGCTCAGTGGTTGAGTGCTGGCCTACAAATCAAAGAGTCCCCCAGTTTAATTCCCAGTCTAAGGCACATGCCTGCGTTGTAGGCCAGGTCTCCAATAGGGTCGTGTGAAAGACAGCCACACACTTTGATGTTTCTCTCCCTCTCTCCCTTCTCTCTAGAAAATAAGCAAATAAAATCTTAAAAAAACAATTTAACCAAAAAGTGGGAGAGAGAAGCACAACTTTGGAATTAAAAGCAGAACCAAGCATTAAATAAACCTTCAGAGCAAAAAAAAAAAAACATCCTCTTTGATCTTTGAGCCAAACTCACATTGTTCTTATGACTAGGGTTTTGTCATTCTCAAAATACGAGGTGGGCAATAGTAGGTTTGTAGTTGTAAGTACATGGAACAGTTTATTCTTGCCTTATTATATAATAATTATTGTATTATTTATTATTATTAACCTACTTTCTCACCCCTGTATTGTGGAAATATGTGGGAATATGTTGACTGCCATGGAAACTTGATGTATTGTAGACTAAAGTTTGAAATTTTGCCTTATCAAAATGTCTCAGCATGGCTACCTTTTCATAATGGTTTCACAAGTCCTAAGTGACTTAATGTTGAAGAAAATTATTTGCTCTGTTATATTCAATGCTTTGAATTAAAAATGTCAAATTGATGAGAATAATGTATAATAAATTTGTTTTTACTTGGCTAGATAAAAAATATAATCATATTTTATCTAAAATGGTCTCAAAAATGATAGCCAAAGAAAAATAAAATCTTTTAAAATAATTTTTTCTGCTTTTTTTTTTAAGTTGAATGTATGGGAGTGACATTGGTTAACAAAACCATACAGGTTTCAGGTGTGCAGTTTATTCAACAACATAATTTAACAAACAAATAGAAACAGAATATAGATAAATAGAACAGACAGTTGTCAGAAGGGGGGCGGCTAGGGGACAAGGTGATAAAGGGTGAAGGATTAAGCAAATATAATATATATAAATATATATATATTTACACACAGGATGTATATATACATACACACACAGGATCTAGCAGAAGTAACACCTGCTTGAGTGTGGTTGGTAAGGTATATAATAAGGGTGTAATAATTTATAGTTTTAATTTGAATGTTTCTCCTAAAATGTCATATGATATGCTTGAGCGTGATATTGTTATATTACAGAATTACATGCTTATAATTTTGTAATAAAAAGGGGGTGTTAGGTGTGCTGGACCCTAACTATGACACAGGCATGGACTTTTTCTACTTTAAATAAAAATAATGTAACTGCATTTTATAAATTATATAAAAGTTGGCATCAAATTTTTTCAGTTAATTATGTAAGCTAATTTTACCTTTTCTCTTCTTCCATAGGACAGATCTATTCAGAAATGATCCACAATTTGCTTCGCCCAGTTCTACAAAGCAAGGATTGTAATTTGGTTCGATACAATGTCATCAATGCATTGCCCAATACAGCTGATTCACTCATTGGGAGAGCTGCACATATAGCTGTTCTTGATTCAGAAATATTTTTAGAGAAATTCTTTCTGGTGGCTGCCCTCAAATATTTTCAGTAGGATAAAAACATTGTTAAGAGATTTAACAATTACCTCATTCAACATTGATTCAAATGTATTATATTAAATTATAGATGCTGATAAGTTCTAAGAAATATTTATACCTTTTTATATGGAAGATAATTTATATCATCCATGTTTAGAGCTTTTTAAACATAACTTTACTTTCTAGGTAATGTGGCTGTGCAATATTTTTTTAATTTTATCTTTTTACTTTTCTATTACTTTTTCATATATTTTGCTACATAAGTATTTCATTGAAACTTTAAGCCCATTGTATGCCTGATTGTTTGTTATTGGCTTTCCACAATCCTTATGTCAGACACATCATACTAGAGGCCATTACTGCTAGAATAGCATGGGACTTAAAATTTTCTAGTATTGGAATATATTTAGTTAATTACAAATTTTACTTTTAACATTTTACTATGTTTTAACTGGAAATAAAATTATGGCTGCTAAAGTATATTTTTTGAAATCAACTCTTCAGCCCTGCCAAATGAGATAGTTCATATATGACAATGTTACAAGTTTTCTATAAAAAGTCATTATTAATGCAATTCAACATATGTCATGCCTATTAAAATATATTTTCTACTGGTGGTTTCAACATTGTTTCTCACATTGACTTTTATTACTGGAACTTTTCATGTTCATGTCAGCAGCATCTAGAGATTTTTGAATGTTTGAATGCCCTCTGCCTTGATTTAGGTGGAATTTTGTTAAATCTGGTAATGTTGCTTGAACTTTCTGACTACATTTCTTTAACTTTTTTCATGAACTTCCTTATTTGTACATAGTAATTAAATGTTGAAATTTATTAAATACTTTTATGAATATAGATAATTTTTAAATATTGTTAAAATCTGTTGAACTAAACAGTAATGTAAATAAAATAATTCATGTTAAAAATGGAACAAAAAATTAACTTTACATGTTTGGTGATACAGATGCATATGTTTTTAATACATGGAGATGTTAAGTCTTTTGACTTTACTAAAGGTGCTGAAGAGCATTAAATTCTCTATTTTCCTCTACTGTTTTACTTGTGAAAATCATAATGCACTAAGGGTGAATAGGTCTGTTTGCATTCACCAGTTGTGATTGGACACAAGATTTTTGTAAGTATGTATTGTATAATTGATGCATGTTTATTTTTAGCATCGTGTTATTGCCCCTGGTGTTAATAAATGAACAAATGACTATTTAGAGGAACAGCTAAAATACTTGCTTATTTTCAGAATGCTAGAGGTATGTTTTTATTTATAATTGGATAGACTATATGCATTGCAGGCCAGCATGACTGAATAACTTAAAGCCTTTGTAAAGTATTTTTATAATTTACATCTTGCATATATTAGTTAAAAGGTATTTTGATGCTCACATAAATCTTTACTTTTTTAAATACTTGAACATTTAATGAAAGACTAAGCAATAATATACTAAGAGCATTATAACTGGAAGATGTAAATATATGCATTATCCACCCACATGTTTTTGCCACACACATTTTTCATCTTCACATAACTTGACCTTGAGTTTGAAATATGCTTATTCTAAGTTTGAATAATCTCATCCAGGTTTATCAAAGGATTTATTCTTACTCATAATCATATAATTGAGTTTAAGTATAAATTGCTCTTACGATTGTAGTTGGTTGATTGGTAGTTGATTGTTTTTAATAGTTTTAAAAGCACATCCATGATCCTGGTTTAAAATCTAACAAACTTTATTTCTGGTTTACCAGGGAAACTAGCATATGCTATTCACTTCCAAGTTCAGATTGCAGGGGTGGGGTGGGGAAATGATTATCTGAAACAATATAAGTGACTCTTAGAGAATGAAGCATACTAAAGTATATACCAGTAAGGATCTTGGTTGAAAAAGAGATAAATTTAAGAAGAAAAATTATTCAGTGGAAGAATATTAGGCAGCTCTCAGAATTGATGGAAAGTCTGGAGAACCAGCTTTGGAAAACAGTAGAAAGAAACCAAAGCTAGATGACCAAAATCATAGCCAAGTCCCAACCTCAAAAAGAGCTGGAAGTTTGTGTATATTTCTGTTGGTCTTGATGCCTCTGAAAACTGGATTCTGAACACATTACTTATTTGCATTACTCATGCCTGATTCAAAGTCTGGTGGGAATGTCCATGTATCCAGGCTTAGTCTTGTGCCATCACTCAAGAGTGTCAGACACAAAAGACAGCAAAGTATATCTGACCTCAGCTTCCACGGTAGCCCAGGTGGGACCATTTCTCCTACCAAGATTTATGAAATGGGTTTGATGACTAAGCACCAAATATAAAAACCTATCACGGGTATATCATAGTCTCTTAGTCTTTCCAACACACACATACACCATTCTTCCCATGTTGATGCATTTAAAATTCTTCCTCCTAACAATACTGTTAGCTCTCTGCCATTTTCAAGTCCAGGATCTCAGTGATGTCCATTTCTCCTCTGGTTCTTATAATGTTGTCTCAACAGTTTGCATCCCATAGATAAAATTATAACCTCACCACCAGTATATATGATTGTAGTGTAAGATAGGAAAGGAAATAAAAATATTAAGTATACAAACATACATGAGTCAATGAGGAAGAAAATACAGCTAGAGCAGTGTTTGACATAAAACTTTCTTGGTAAGAATTATTTAGGTAACTCATTTAAAAATACAAACTCCAGAGCTCTGTTATAGACCAACTGAGTCTCCAGGATAGGATATGAGAAACAGCACATTTTATGTCCCAAAGTTCTCTGATTTAAAAAATAATTTTGTAAGTACAGTCCTTAATTCACCACTGGTCATTAGGCTGGATGATTATGACTTGTCACTACTGCCACTTACTGTTTCCTTTGTTATCAACCAGCACCTTAGCCAATCAGATTTCTTTACCTGGTGGGTGGCCCAAAAATTGGTAGCTTGGGTGGTTTTGCCTATATGTTTTTCAACAGTCTGCTTAATTTTCATAATTCAACATGGTTTTGGTAGGAGGTATTCTAGGAGATCAGTTTCCTGAGTTCTAGTTAGATTGCTCTCCCTACTCCCTTTCTCCCCACAGTTATCAGAGCCAATCACTCCAACTAGCATCATCACTCCTTCTAATATCTCACTCAGAGAAATGAGCTAAAAATGACCAGGTGGCAATCATACCCCTTTTACTTCACTCAGGATGCAAAAATTGGTATACCAACCGAATCTGGAATCATGGAGATGGGTGGCAAGATCAGTGAAGGGTCAGATTTTACTCTGTATGCTGGCTTGCTTGCCACAGTTTTCATGGGTGCTGATGGTAGATTCCTGGGTAAGAGACTGAAGACTATCACCAAGTTTCAGCATATTTGCACCTGTTCCTGGAGCCTCAGTACTCTCAGTGACACAGAGGTCCAGATGACACCTGAACACATGGTGGGTTGCACTAGAGAAAAATCCAGGGCTGAGGGCCAAGCAGTCTGAGCAAGCAACCAAGAAGCCAGTGTCTTTCCCCAAGAGAAGAAGCAGTCAAATGGTAGTGATGTGGCTTTGACTTTAGATGCCTTTGACTAGCTACAGAAATGGTCAGTGTCAGACGTATAAGCCTTGCACTTGGCATACTCAGTGATAATATGCAGGGACATCGGGACTTGGGGCAAGTTGTTTCTCCCCACAGTGGAAAGCAAAATACATGGGCAGTGTGTCAGAGGTAATGCGTCAATCCCTCTACTACTCTGGATCCTGTTATTCTGTCAAGAGGTGTCACTGAATACTGTTATCGCATTTGGAGCATATGACAAATCCTTTAGAACAGCATCCCAAAACGTATTTTTTCACCAGCTTCCAAAAGTAAACTTTCAGTAGGTCCATCCATTATTTTATAAGGCCATCTGCTTTTGGTCTGGTGGGATATGTGATAAGATTAGTTAATCCCACAGGCATCAGTACCCTGCTTTACACCTTTCACAGGAAAGTGAGTTCTTTGGTAAGAAGCAGTGTTGTGTGGGATGCTATATAATGTGTATGGTGTACAAGGTATTCAATAACTACAGATGAAGTACATACAAGGAGCGTAAGTCAGGGAAAGCAATCCAAACCCAGAATACTTGCCTTTTGCTATAGAACAAGTTGCTACTTCCTTCATTATAGTAGGATCCCATTGTAATCAAACCTGCCACCTAGGCTATAAGTAATAGTACTAACCAATTAGTCTTGGCAGAGGAAAATTCTTTTTTTTTTAATTTTTATTTTTTTAATTGATTATGCTGTTACAGTTGTTCTATTCCCCCCTTCATTCCCCTCCACCCTACCCCCCATCCCCACCATTACCCCCCTTTAGTTTATGACCATGTGTCTCCAGTCCTTTAGATTCTATATTTCCCATGCTATTCTTGCCCCCCCATCTATTTTCTTTGTACTGTCTATGCTACTTATTTTCTGTACCTTCTCCCCCCATCTCCTCCTCCCACTCCCCTGTTGCTAACCCTCCTTGAGATCTTCATTTCTATGTCTCCACTCCTGATCTAGCTGTCCTTTTAGTTTGCTTTCGTTTTAGGTGTGGTTGTTAATAACTGTGAGTTTGTTGTCCTTTCACTGTTCATGTTTCTTTAACTTCTTTTTTTTAGATAAGTCCCTTTAACATTTCATATAATAAGGGCTTGGTGATGATGAACTCCTTGAATTTGATCTTATCTGAGAAGCACCTTATCTGTCCTTCCATTCTAAATGAAAGTTTTGCTGGATAGAGCAATCTTGGTTGTAGGTCTTTGGATTTCATGACTTGGAATACCTCTTTCCAGCCCCTTCTTGCCTGTAAGGTCTCTTTTGAGAAATCTGCTGACAGTCTGATGGGGACTCCTTTGTAGGTGACTGTCCCCTTAGCTCTTGCTGCTTCTAGGATTCTCTCCTTCATTTTAATTTTGGCTAATGTAATTATGATGTTGGCAGAGGAAAATTCTATGTTAAAAATATATGCATGTCTCCGTCCCACCATGGATACTTTGTTAGTGAGCAACTGAGCAAACAGGTGTAGTGATGTCTATAGAGCAACTGAGCAAACAGGTGAAACTGATGTCTATAGAGTGGATCCTTGTAAGCATCCTCTCAAATGACCCTCAGTGATCCCCACCTACCAGTGTATTCATCCCTTGTGTAATCCCCTCCCTTTGAGACTGGTCTAGATCTGATTTACTTCTGTCTCTTTTTTTAAAGATTTTATCTTTTAGAGAGAGGGGAAAAGAAAGGAAGAGAAACATGGATCAGTTGCCTCTCCCACACCTCCTACCCCCTGGGGATCTGGCCCAGGCATGGGCTTTAACTGGAATTGAACTGGTGACCTTTGGTTTGCAGGATGACACCCAACCCACTGAGCCATACCAATTAGGGCTGGATCTGATTTAATTCTAATAGAATACAGCAACAGTGATGGATGTTACTTCTGAGATTAGATTTCAAAGACTGTGTTCCATCTTGATCAATCCCCCCTTTCTCTTACTTGTTCATTCTGGAGAAAAACAGCTGCTGTGTTGTGAGATGACCTTTAGAGAAGCCCAATAGCAAGGAACTGAGGGAATCCTATAGTTCAACTAAAAATTCCTGCCAGTGATCACATGAGTGAGCTTGGAAGTGAATCCTCCCCTAGTCATGCCTCCGTGAGACTGGAACCCCAGATAACAGCTTGACTGTAGCCTCATTTAAGATCTAGAGCCAGAGGCACTCTGCCTCCTGGATTCCTGATGCACAAAAACTGAGAGAATGTTATTTTAAGCCACAAAATTTTGGTATAATATGTTAGGCAGCAATAGAGTAAACTTGTTCTGATTAAGAGCCGTTTAGCAATGAGAGCCTGTTTTTTTGTTTTTGTTTTTTTTAAGCATTCAGTGGGACCTAATTATTCTTACGCTTTGGGGCCATTTTGAGAGGTCGTATTTCACAAAGTATTCCAAAGTCTTTATATTCCCAGTCCCTGACCATTTGAGTAAACCAGTGCCCATGAAAAGAGGTAGATTTTTATCTCAAGTCATACCTCCTTCCAGGCAAAGTGCACAAGATAAGGTTTGGCCCAATGGAAGGATTTTTTTTCTCACTGCTGTTCCTTTAGGGCCTTTGTTAAATGGGGCTCGAAGTGTCAAAGCAGTCCCTTGCCAGCTGGGTTAGTTTATTGAGCAAAACCATATGTAATTTAGCTTTGAATTTTTTCCTCAGCTAATAGGTCACAAAGAATTCATCGTTAGGGTGTAAATGTGAGCTAAGGGTCAAAAGTATGTATGTGAGCTACCTGCTAATGAAAATTGGTTGGTTTTTGGCTTTGACCCTGTTCTGAGTATACCACTTCCTCTTAGTACAAGAACTGCTTGTTTAGAAGGACCTGATAACTCCTAGCTCATGATGACAAACTCATTGCACAGCCAACTGATGTCTCCTGATCAGACATACAAGAAGGGCCCAGTAGCCAGCCAAGAAATTTTCTAAAGTAAAATAAATTCTGAGACCTCCATCGTGATTCTGTAAAGGCTTCCACAGGTTACATAAAGTCTCCTGATCTGCCACTTTCGCTCCCAACAATCTGGAGCTGCTGGAATCGAAGGGTCCAATTGGCAGAACGCTTTACAGCAGCCTGGACCAGATGGAAAAGCATTGTATTGCTCTGCACTTTACTCAAAACTCATCCTTCAGAAGGTTATCTAGTCAATGGCTCAGAACTAACGAATTAGGAGTTCACCAAACAAGTAGACATTTAAAATTAAGTAAAAGGAAACTGAGGGGAAAGAAGCCTGTTAACACAAAAAAGAGTAAAAGACACTCTCTTTGCTGTAAGAGCTCTTCCAAGAGACCTTTTGCCTCAGAGTAATAAACGAAATTATTCCCTCATCCAATTTCAGTCATAATTTGCGGATTTAAGTAAGACGGGCTTCAGGGTAATTTGGGTCGTTCGTGACAAGGCTGAGGACCTTCCTCCTCTCTGCCTAGAACAGCCTGGACTAAGAGCGCCATTCCAGGAGCCGGCTGGAAGGCCCCGCCCCTCCTGTGGAGGCCCCTCCCACCCCGTGAACGCCCCGCCTCTTCCACGGGGGTCCCGCCCGCCGGACAAGACGCAGGCCCCACCTCGTGAGAGGCCCCCCCACTCCTGTAGTGCGGGCGGGACTACACTGCTGGCTCCTTCCTTTGACCGCGCCGGTACGGACGTCGCGGAAATAGGCGCCATGGCTGTATCCGGGTTCGCCCGGTTTCTTGGTCGAGCTCCGGCCGCGGCTTGGAGAGCGGCAAGTAAGGCACTTGGCCCAGAAGTCAAGGTTGTGGGCGGGGTCTCGGCACCGCAAGAAAGGCCTCTCACGGAGAAAGCTGCATGTATCCCTGGCTTTTAAGGGTGCATCGGGTCTCAGAGCTTCTCTGTTCAGCTCAGCCTCCGAGTCTTAGCTAGTGCAGGTCCGGTCCCTCTGGGACCTCAGGGGTGGGACTAGAGCTCGAAGAACCCCGGAGCCCTTCCAACCAGGATACCTGCTTCCTCCCGGGTCACTGCTCTGACCGCGGAGGGTTGCAAACGTGTTCCGGTTTTGTATTTGGGAACTTGCACTACGCTTTTGATACTCATGGAAAAAAACAAACAAAAAATGGAAAAGTGGGCCTTTTGGGAATAGGAATCGTTCGTGTACTTATTTATTTACATAAAAAAGGATTTGTGCAGTTTGCAGCATGAAAAACATTGGAAAAGTGCAGAAGTAGGCGAAAGGCAAATAAGTATGATAAAAATTAAATGGCGCTAGGAAATGTTAATAAAGTATGCATGTTTCTTAGTAAAAACAAATATTTTAGCCCCTTTTTGGGAAAAATTTATCAATATATTACAGACTTAACCCACAGAGTATGCTAAACATAGTTCTAATTTAGGACATCTGGGGGAAGTTGTGTACATGGAAAACAAGATTGCTGCTCCTCATGGTAGTGGGTCCCAGATTTCTCATGTTTATTTTCCTTTATGTGACAGTGGTGTCCAACCTTTTGGCATCTCAGCGCCACACTGGAAGACGAGTTGTCTTGGGCCACACATTAAATACATTGCAACAGGAAATCACAAAAAAAATCTTGATGTTTAAAGTACATTTACAATTTTGTGTTGGGCCGCATTCACAGCCATCTTGGGCAGCACGCAGCTCGAGGGCTGTAGGTTGGACACCCCCGAATCATTTCTTCTCAAGCATATTATTTGTTAATTATAAAAAGTTTGAATGGCCCAGAAATGAATAATATGGAAAGTGAAAGTCCTGCATTATCCAAACTATAAGTCTAAAATTTTGTGTGTACATTCAACCCTTTTCACTTGTGCTAAAAACTTAAGCGTGAAGTATTTGATACCAAAAAATTCTACAACGTGTAAGTTATGAAGCAAAGCCAACACTTAGAGCCCATTCTTTAGTTTAAGAAATAATACTTCCATTGGTAAGCAGCTAGCTCCCTGTGTGCTGCTTCTTGATTCAGTTGTGTAACATTGCATGTTGTTAATCTTTATAGAAATGGTTCCATACAATTTGTATTTATTTTACTTGCTTTTTTCAACTAATGGTGTATTTTGAAATTCATCCACATTGATGTTTGAGGTTGACATTTGCTCAAGTGTGAAAAACATATGTTCTTCCTTGCCTCTCAGTGGACATTCAGGTAATTACAGAAACACCAGGTTTGGCTGCTACACGTTTCTTATGTGCTCTTGTGCAAGGAATGGAATTTCTGGAACATAAAGTATAGGGCTGTTCAATTTTATAATATGCGAGGTATAAAAGCATTGTCTATTTTTTTTTTAAGATTTTATTTATTTATTTTTAGAGAGGGAAAGGGAGGGAAAAGGAGACAGAGAGAAACATCAGTGTGCGGTTGCCTCTTTTCACAACCCTCACTGGGAACTTGGCCTGCACCCAGGCATGTGACCTGACTGGGAATTGAACCAGTGACCTTTTGGTTCAGAAGCTAGTGCTCAATCCACTGAAGCACACCAGTCACGGCACATTGTCTATTTTTACTGGCAACTTCCACCAGCAGTATATGAGTTCCTGTTGCTCCAAATACTTGCCAACACTCAATATCATCAGAAAAATTAATTTTTGTGTGTCTGTAGGATGTCGAATTAGTATTGCAATTTTGCTTTTCTCTGGTTAGAGAAATTAAACATCTTTTCAAATATTAGTTTTTTGTAAAATGTCTTTATTAATGGATTATCTTATATTTTTATATATATTTAAATACTAAACTTTTTAGCTATGTAAGTGGCAAATAGCTCAGTTTGTGGGTTATTTTTGTCACTGTCTTTTTTAAAAACCATATAAGACAGTAGACAAAATATAAAAGAAAGAAGAATGAATCTGCATGTATAATCACATAGCTTCAAAAGTCTTGATTCATAATTTTATTTTAATCTTGATCTTTTTGTTTATTGTCAATGTCTTATGATCATTTCTAATAGAGCCTTCTCTACCCTTGAGTCATAGAGAATTTTCTTCTAAAAGGTCTATAGTTTTGCTTTTCATTTTAAACCTTTATTCTACCAGGAATTGATTTTTGTATATGGTGTGAGGCAGGAAACCAATTTCACTTTTTTTCTGTGACAGTAACCAAGTTCATGTATAGGACCTTTCCCTCACTGACGTAATGTCAGCTATCATAAATCGAGTGTACAGATATAGGTATAGATATGGGTTTATTTAGTGGTTGTCTTTTCAGTTTCATTAGTCTGCCTATTCCTGTGCTTATCAGAGGAAAGCACACTTACCTTTAATAACCGCATCTTTGTAATTAATCTTGATATCTAATACTGTAAGTCTTCCCATGTTGATTTTCAGAAGTATCTTAGCTGTTTTTGAGTATCCGCTTTCCATATTAAATTCTTTCTAGAATAAATAAAGTTTCTGGTAGGATTTGATTAATACTGCTCAATATTTTAAAAATTATTTTTTGATTGCTGATTGTGTGTAGAAACACAATTGACTTATTTATTGATTTTGTATTCAGTAACCTACCTAAATTACTTTATTAATTTGCATAATTTATTTGCAGATGGTAGACCTTATTAGGTAGACACTGATATTATTTGCAAATAAAAATCTAATTTTTCCCATTCCAATTTTAAGTTTTTTCTTTTGTCTTGTTTTTCTGTCCTTGCTCAAATGGCCAGTACCATGTTGACTGAAATGAAGAGAGCAGGCATGCCTATCTTGTTCATGATTTTAAAGGGAATGTGTTCATATTTAATTTTGAGGAATTTTATTTAAATTCATTTCTGAAATATGTGTGCCTTGTGTTTAGTGTGTTTGTGTGTGAGACAGTTCATACATTGAAAACATACTGGTTGTTTCACATGTCAATTTGATTTCAGATTTGCTAGGGGTAAGAAAATGATCATCTCTTAACTCACTACATTTCTCTTATATTTGTGTTTACTTTTTCTTGTTTGTAATTTTTCATTTTGGCGTATTTAGGGTAGTTTTTCTTCATTATGTTAACTAATGGTATATTTGTGTTGCTGTATTTTTCAGTATATTTTATTGATTATGCTGTTACAGTAGTCCCAATTTTTTTCCCTTTGCCCTCCTCTGACCAGTACCCCCCTTCCCTTTAGCAACCCCTCCCATTTAATTCATGTCCATGGTATGTGCGTGTAAGTTTTTTGACTTCTCCCTTTCCTATACTATTTTTAATATCCCCCTGTCTATTTTGTTGCTTACCAATTATGCTTCTTGATCCCTGCACTATTTCCCACTTTCTCCCCCATTCCCCTCCCAGCTGATAACCCTCCAAATGATCCCCATATCTGATTCTGTTCTTGTTCTGGTTGTTTGCTTAATATATTTTTGTTTGTATTTTTTAGATTTAGTTGTTCATAGTTGTGAGTTTATTGTCATATTAATGTTCAAAGCTTTGATCTTTCTTATAAATTAAGTCCCTTTAAGATATTATGTAATAATGGTTTGGTGATGATGAATTCCTTTAGCTTAACCATGTCTGGGAAGCACTTTATCTGCCCTTCCATTCTAAATGATAAGTTTGCTGGATAGAATAGTCTTGGTTGTAGGTCCTTGCTTTTCATGACTGACTATTTCTTGTCAGCCCTCTTGCCTGCCAAGTTTCTTTTGAGAAATCAGCCAACGTTCTATGGGAATGCCTTTGTAGGTAACTCTGCTTTTCTCTTTATGCTTGTAAGTTCTATCTTTATCTTTAACACTTGGCATTTTGATTATGTCTTGGTGTGTTCCTCTTTGGGTCCAACTTGATTGGGACTCTCTGTGCTTCCTGGACTTGTATGTCTATTTCCTTCACCAAATTAGGGAAGTTTTCTTTCATTATTTTTTCAAATAGATTTCCAATTTCTTGCTCTTTCTCTTCTCCTTATGGCACCCCTATGATGCAAATGTTGGACCTCTTGAAGTTGTCCCCCAGGCTGCTTATATTACCTTCCTTTTTTTGGATACTTTCATCTTCTTGTTGTTCCAGTCATTTTGTGTGTGTGTGTGTGTGTGTGTGTGTGTGTTTTGCTTCCTTATGTTCCAAATCATTGATTTGATTCTCAGCTTTAGCCACTCTTCTGTTGATTCCCTGTAAATTTTTCTTTACTTCAATTACTGAATCCTTCATTTTTGACTGGATCTTTTGTTATTCTGCTGAGATCCTTACTAAGTTCCTTGAGCATGCTTATAACCAGTGTTTTGGACTCTGCATCTAATGGATTGCATACCTCCACTTTATTTAGTTCTTTTTCTGGAATTTTGATCTGTTCTTTCATTTGGGCCATGTTTCTTTGTCTCCTTGTTTTGTCAGCCTCCCTGTATTTGTTTCTGTATATTGACTCCATGGTCATGTGCGCCAAGGTAGTAAGTGTTCTAGTAGGGTCCAGTGACACAGCCTTCTCAATCACCCAGCCTGGGTATTTGAGGTGCGCCCTTCATGTGGGCTAAGTACACCCTCCTCTTGTAGTTGAGTGTTGGTTGCTATTGGCAGATCAGTGGGGTGTTATTTACTCAGGCTAGTCAGCTGCAAGAATTTGCTGTGACCACTTACCGCCAACTTCTGCCCTCCTTGGAGGATCAGCAGTGCAGGGGCAGGGGGCTGGTGCTCTATAGCTGTGCACTGGCTACACTGGCCCTGAGGTTTCCCAGGTGGTGCAGGCCAAGGTCAGCCCACACCTGTGTTTTGTCCAGGACTGCTCTTCCTGAGCTATGAAGCAATCTGAGAAGACTGCTGCTTGTGCTGGGCTTAGAGATTCCCAGGTGAAACCAAGCTGT